ACCACCCTAAACAGGTGGATACATTTTTTTATACATCCCAGTCATGCTTCACTCATTCACACCGGGGCTCCTGAATACCATGTCAACAATCATAATGAAGTGATAATTGGCACATGGATGGACAGCTCTGGGTCAAGCCCTGGTGACTCTACCTACATAAGCATCTCAGTATAGCCTCACAACAGATATAGGGTAGGTACAAGTATTGATCCCATTTTGCTGTTTGAGGGAATTGACATTTAGTAAAGGTAAACTTCTTAGCCAAGTTCACACAGCTCATAAATGGAGCTGTAATGAGTCCATGCTGACGCGGCTCCTAAGCTGAGCATTCAATAGAACTGGCTTCCCAGAGGCTGTTAGATTGTGAGTTTCTCCTTCTATGGTCAGGCTGCAACTCATTTTACTCTAAGTTTTCTTTTGCTGTCTCTGCTTTTGTTGTTGTTGTTTGTTTTTGTTAACATCACCTGAGGATTGTTTTTTTCCTTTTTGTTTTTAGAGAGAGAGAGAGTGGAAGGGAGGAAAGGAAGGAAGAAGAGAGGGAGGAGGAGAGAGAGACACATCTATTGGTTGAACCTCTAACACAGGTACGTGTCCTTGACCAGAAATTGAGTCTGTGACCCTTCGGTGTGTGGGCTGACACTCTATCCACTGAGCAATAACATCCAGGGCTACTCTAAGTTTCCCATGATTAGGAAAGTAAAGATTTTTTATAGTCAAATTAAACTCTGTTCAATAACTCTGTATGGAGTACTTTTGTACAAGATAATTGGCTAAGTGGGTGGCTATTATCATAACATATTTATCAATCATTATGTAAATTCATTTATTCTCAGAGTTAAATATGCTATGGGTTTAACTCTCCCAGAGATTATGCATATGATTTACTGTCATAATACTATTTTCCTGAATTTTCTTACGTGCTTCTCCAAAACAGTTTTGTTTTGATATAGTTTACATAGAAATGTAAGTGTGTGATTTGGGCAAAATACAAAATAACAATCATGATTTGTCTATGCTGAGTTAAAATATGTTGCTGAGTCAATATAATTCATAAACTCTGATGCACCAGATGTAAGGCTTCTACTTTCATATACTATCATTTATTTTCTATTACTCTCAGGTAAAGATAGAATACCAAATTCAGGTGAATGGTCATTTGGGAAAGACTTGTTTTTCCCTAATAATGGTGATGGGGATTTTACCCTGGGATGCATAGAGGCACTGTTCCTATCCAAATAATTGTATTACACAATCATGCAGTGTCTCAGGAGCCAAAGTATATGACACATTTGCCTGAATACCAACTGTTATCCACCTTATTTAAATGAATACGGAATGAAACAGGTGGTTTAACTAAGGAGAAACCTGTCCTGAGCACATAGATCGTTTCTAATCACATACTCACTTGTCTCATAATGAATTGAGAGTGGGGAAAGCTGTAAGATGAGTATTAGAAAACAACTTTCCTTCAAAGGTTAATTAATTCAACAAATATTCATTCAGTGCCTACTCTTGCAACACACTTATTGGAGATAAAACACATTTTTTAAATGCAAAAGTGGTTTGATGATAGCTGTAAAAAATATAGAAACAAACGATATCCATTTAATTAAACATAATCCTCACAAGTACTATACATAAGGTTTTAACAATGCTGTGGAAGTACTAGCATATATCTGCAATAGACATTTATAACTGACAAATATGGATCTTAAAATACTTTCAAGAACAAATAGAAAACAACAATGTTGACTAACATCTTTATCAATTAAAATAATAGGAAAAAATCACTTTTCTCAAGATAGTCTAAACTATATACTAAAACCAGAAGTGTTTGAGGTAATTAATAGATATGAAAGTGGTATTGTAAAAGTCATTTTTGTAGCTCTCTTTGGATAAACTGGTATTTTTTTTTAAATATATATTTTATTGATTTTTTACAGAGAGGAAGGGAGAGAGATAGAGAGTTAGAAACACCGATGAGAGAGAAACATCGATCAGCTGCCTTCTGCACATCTCCCACGGGAGATGTGCCCGCAACCCAGGTACGTGCCCTTGACCGGAATCGAACCTGGGACCTTTCAGTCCACAGGCCGACGCTCTATCCACTGAGCCAAACCGGTTTTGGCTGGATAAACTGGTATTTATATAAACAAAGTTCTACTCCAAACTTCGTGTTACCTCATCTTATTCCATTAAGTGTGAGAATCATAGGTACAACAGGACGCATGCTTACGTCATGTTAGTTATGTACAGCAGTGGCTCCCTGGGGCTAAAAGAAAGAATGTGGCGAACACCTAAGCCACAGGCCTCAGCAAGTGGGGCCTGCCTTGCCCCCACCTCTGATAGTCTTGGCAATTCTGGTTACACTCAGAGACAGTTTGTATCCTAACCATCCAGTTTCTGGACCATTTTGTCTCAACAAGGGTATAAGCTTTCAGAAAATGGCATAAACTATAGCACATGGAACTAACTGTATTTGCTCTAAGATGTAGAAATCAATATGAAAAACTCCACAGTTCCTTTGGATTCGGTAGGAGATGGATAATAATACCTGGTAAAAGTTTATTTTAATTGCAAATGAGAGAAATCAAACTAAGCTAATGTGTGTATGAGGAGAGATGAGGTTGAAGAGGAGCAAGGAGCAACATTTCCTTCCAGGGGGGCATCCTAGGACCCCAGAAAGTGTGGGACCCTTTCTCTCCTGTCTGTGTGGCTTCCGTATTTTTCAGCAGCAGGAGCCCACATCCACTGCTGTGCCCTGCACTCCGTAGACTAAAAGTTTACTTCCTAACAATTCAAAATTCTAGCAACCCCCAAAATAGGTCTACTTATGCTCAGCTAATTCAATACTAGTAATTGCAACTGAGGCAATACTGCCCACTGGGATGAATATTTTTAAATTTGTGAAGACATTTTTGGTTGTCACAGTGATTTGGCTAAAAACCTAACCATGCGCAGGACAGTTGTGCACCACTGTGCCTGGAACCCACGTTTATTTTATACTTGCTTTTTTGGCAAGTTAATTAATTTCGCACAATGAATGAACTGCCCAGGAATACATACTATGTATTTGGAAAGAAATGCTGTGTGTTATTTTGTTCAGAGTTTATCAAGAGATGCAATGTCATGTCACCACCAGGAATCTGAGGGGCATACACAGCACACCTCCATCAATCTGCAGTTGTAGCTTTCGCATTTACTGTACCCTAAAATTTACACATTGAAATACATCAAACCTCAGAAAATGCTTTCCTATTATTTCCTTTTATTTCTCCTTTGTATTGCAATTAGGTCATGATACTTTTGAAATTATGAGTAAGTAGGTTATATTATCAAAGCATTTCTAAGAGAATTCTAAAGGGAGCTTTCTAAAAGATGGTTGCGAGTTATATTAGCAAAGCATTTTATAAAATAACTTTAAAGGAGGTTTTACAAAAATGATTTGCTAGGAAAGCAGATATTGGATCCAACAGGGCTGGCAATCTGGTTATCCCTTCCACATACCAGGGAGAGAGAATCTAATTAGCTCAGCATGGGTCAGATGCCTCGCCATGCTCCCTGTACAGGGAGTCCCAAAAAGTGTACACGCACTTTGAATGACTATAAAGTCAGTGTTTATTAATGTCCAGTTCATTTTCAAAATTCAAAAGAAGCTACAGAAATGAATTCTTTTTTGTCAGTGCCTGTTTTCAAACTGATGACCATTCTGGTCCAGGCTCTGCTGATAACACGAAGCAATGGAATTATAAAAAAACAAGAATTATTTCATTCAGAATTTGTATACCCTCAATTCGTTGACTGTTGCCAGCTTTGTACCGTAAACTTAATCTTTTATGTGTCCCCATAAAAAAAAAAGTTGTTTAGTGGCACTTTAGGATAAATTTCCTTTGTTCAAAGCTTAGTCTGGCTTCACCCATTATTTCAAATCAGTTAAACCTGAAAAGGAGTGTAAATTAAGTGAGTTATAAGCGGTTAAAGTGTGTATACATTTTTCTGTGGCACCCTATCGTTATGGTTAAGTAGCCAGACTCGAGAAATTAAAACAAAGTTGCCCAGGTCCACCCTTAAGGCAGTGCAGTCCATCCCCAGTGATGCAGGACAGATAGCCTATTACAGAATTTTTCCAATAACATTATAGGTTTGGCACAAGGATAGCCATAGATGACATAAATTAGGACACCTTCCCCAACCAGCACTTTCCCCATTTCAGCACACCACCTTTGCTTTCCCCATTCCTTTTTCTTCACTAAGGTTAGGAGGTCCTTCCCTGTTCTCTGATTACATAGGATCTCATGCCAGATTGCTCTATACAGGCCTTCTCATTCATTCAATTATTCACTCCTTCATTCTTTTAATACTATTGCTAAGTATGTACTATATACCATTCGTCAATCTAGATACTAGGAATAGATTGAACAAACAAGATCACTATATCAATGAGATTATATATACTTTATAGGGAGGAAAAAATAAACAGAAATCATCTTTAAAGCTTATTTTGGAATGTGAAACTGCCACTACAAGAACCTGAGATGATGATATGACAGGGAATAACTGGGAGAAACTTCTTCCTTTATTGAAATGGGAAATATCCTACCCGATGGGAAAAAAATGTCCCTCTGGGGATCTGCTTACCTAGCAAATCTGATAAATATGTTTGTACGAAGCTAGAAACACAAATGCTTTAATGCATTAGCTTTTCCCTGTAATTCTCTATCACAGAATTAGAAGGGATTATTTGCAATTACCTACTTCAGCACCTTTATTTTACATTTGAAGTAAATATTTTTACAAATGGATTTAGTTTGTTGATATATATATATATATATATATATATATATATATATATATATATTAGTGGCCTGGTGCATGGATTTGTACACATTGAAAGGAAATTAATTAGAAGAAATATTCATGTTGTAATTACATTACTGCAAGCAAAAATTATGTCAAAATAGTATATATAATATAGTATTATAAAATTAAAACACACGTACTTGGTGCCAGCAAGAGCTTTATGTATATTGCGCATGCACAAGTCGACATTTATTTTTAAATGGCCAGTGTGCATCTTATGTACCAGCCATTCAGTCGGTCGGACAGTCGATGAATAAATCGTGATGCGGTTCCCATTGACTGTCAACAAAAACAACCAAATTCACAATCAACAATGACAAATTGAAACACAAGCATGGAAGTGGTGTTAGAGAGAGCTTTATATGTATTGTGCATGCGTGAGTCAACATTTACTTTAAAACTAGTGCTCCGGTGCTTGAATTCGTGCACATTGAGAAGAAATATTTTAATATCACTATTTGCCCTTTCTCTATAATAGATGTGTTAACCAAATTCACAATCTACAATGACAGATCAAAACACACACATGCCATTGGCAGCAGTGAGAACTTTATATATATATTGTACATGCACAAGTCAACTTAGCCTTTTATATGTATATATATATAGAATAAACTTGCTTAATTAGACCTGCTTTCTGATGTAGCTAAACTTTTCCCAGCCCAGTCAAGCACCCCAACTCCTCTTTCAGGTAATTGTCAGCAACACAGCAGTAAATATCAACATGAAGCAGATTATTATTGTATATCACACAGGGAGAACAAAGGGTAAAATACTTAACTGCAGCAGTGTTTGATTATATTCTGCACAGTGAGAAAACCTGAAGTAATTAATTTTCAAGGTCCACCATTTCTTACTTCTTTTCAGTTGGGAGAAGTTTCTAAGCTTTCTAAATCTCCATTTTCTGGCTAATGAAAAGAAAATAGGATTCCACCGAGTTTCCTATCTACCTACTCCAGGACTTCTGTGAGGATCAAATGAGATGAGGCACGGGAAAATGCTTCACAGACATTTGGTTAAAGTATAAAATGTTTGCACCTGCTATAAAGCAAGTCATGTTCCTGGGCTGAAGAAACTCCAAGGAGGCTAGTCACTAGGGAGAGGAAGCCAGGCGTTGCTATGTGACATCATTACCCGGCACCCACAGCCACCAATTCTGCACTAGGCTGGGCTGTGGGCTGCATTTTATGCCATGGGGTCTTGGTAGCATCGGCTGCCATTGCTGGGATGTTGCTCCAGGGTGGTGGTGGGGCCTGTGTCCCACTTGGGGGAAGCTTAGTGTTGCTCTGTGGGCACCAGGTCCGCAGTGCCATTTCTTTGTAAATAGCCAGTATGCATCATGACAGCTCCTGCGTTGAGCATCTTCCCCCGGTAGTGAGTGCACTACATAGCAACTGGTCAGACAGTCAGACACTTAGCATATTAGCCTTTTATATATATTAATTGCCAGAGCATGTCATATGTACAGACTGGTTGGTCGGTCGGATGGTCGGATGTACATACAGTCGGTCACTTAGCCTTTTACATATATATAGATGATTTACTTAGCTAGCCATAGTCCTAAAAGTCATGATATTCTTTATGGATTCCAAAACTTTGGTCCTTTGGTTTATCAAGCTTAAAAAATAATCTCTCTCTGTGTGTATTACTGAATTAGAAAAAGAAACTTTTTATTCAATTATAGCAGAGAAGCAATTTAAAAAAATTTTAAAAATTAAAATAAAGTGTAAAATTCATAATTGTCAACATACAATTTTAGTTTTAGATATCAAGGATTTAATGTTGATATAGTTTAAGAAGCACTTTATTAATCCAAATGAAAAAATTGAAAACATTTATTCACAAAGACATTTGCACCTCCATGTTCATTGCAGCATTATTCACAGTGGCCAAGACAAGGAAACAACCAAAGTGTCCTTTGATAGACAGTTGGATAAAAAGATGTGGTATATATACACAATGGAATACTACTCAGCCATAAAAAAGATGAAATACTACCATTTGCAACAACATGGATGAATCTTGAGACTATCATCCTAAGTGAAGTAAGTCAGAAAAAGAGTCAAATGATTTCACTTTTATGTGGGATATAAAATAAAAGCAACAAATAAACAAACATGAAAAAAGAATAAACAAAACCTCATAGAAACGAACAAAAGTATGGTGGCCAGAGAGAAAAGAGGTGGGAGATAGTTAAGGGTTAAGGGGTCAAATATATGGTGATGAAAAAAGACGTGAGTTTGAGTGGTGGGCACTCTATGCAATATACAGAGTATGTGAAACCTATATAATTTTATTAACCAATGTCACCCCAATAAATTCAAATAGAAACCAAACCAAAACAAAAAAGACAGAAATTAAAGACAATTCAGAAATATCCTTTCTAGGTGGTAGAGATATTAAAGACCCTAATATCACATAGCTTGCTTTCTATTTCCCCAACACTCTGAGATGATGCCTAATGATGCCAAACAATCTCTTCCTCTGAGTAATCTGAAATTGAGCTGAACTAGGATTACTGCCACTAGTTCCTGAAACCAAACAGCAAAGATATAGAAAATGCAAGGAAATTTCCTCTAAGCCAGTGGTTCTCAACCTTCCTAATGCCGCGACCCTTTAATGCAGTTCCTCATGTTGTGGTGACCCCCAATTTCATTGTTACAAATTGAACATAATTAAAGCATAGTGATTAATCACAAAAACAATATGTAATTATGTATGTGTTTTCCGATGGTTTTAGACGACCCCTGTAAAAGGGTCGTTCCACCTCCAAAGGGGTCGCGACCCACAGGTTGAGAACCGCTGCTAAGCTGTGTTATGTATAGAACTCAAAGTCAATTGCACCATGGAAAGTTTGCAGTAAGGTTTTGGTTACATACCCTGTGTGTTAAAAGTTGACTCCAGAAATCTAAAAGAGAAATTTCCCCACCTGACCCAAAGATGAAGTCTTTTACCATAATTACAGGGTAGTGTAGAACCTGTAAAAGCCTGGAAATGTGTTGTTAATTATTAGTCATAGGAACTATGTAGTACTTCATCATTTAACTCATGTTTTTTAGTCAGTGTTGGGCCAGGTAACATAAAAATAATAATAAAAAAAGATAAAATATACTTTTTCTTCTATTACAGCATGTTGGTCAAGTATCAAATATTACTTAATATACAAGGTTATAATAAATATTGAACATGTCAGAGATCTAATAGGAAAAATTAGGTATGTAAAACATAAAACACAATCTATAATCCTCAATGTTTCCACATATATGTTTATATTTTATATAGTTCAGATAAAATAAAATAAATTCAGTTCCACACTACATATACACATATGATCTAAAAAAGACATCGCATAATCACCAGAGTTGCAGTTGCTAGGAAAAAGCATCTTAATAGGTAAACATAGCCTTACCATATGATCCAGAAGTAGTGCTCCTAGGTATTCCCAACAAATTTTAAAACTAATGTCCTTCCTTACACATGCGTGCAAATGTTTATAACACTTCTTTTCATAATTACTAATAACTGAAACAACCAAGATCTCCTCCAATAAGTGAATGAATAAGCAAACTGAGTAACATCATAAAATGAAATTCCATTCAGCAATAAAAAGGAATAAACTCCTAAGCCAAACAAAGCTATAAAAAAAGATAAAGTTGTTTTAAATAAACCCTATTAATAACAGAGTCAATTTTTCTCTCCTTTCACAAAGATTTAGAAAACACAAAATAGTAAGCTAGATAGATAAAAAGAAAGTCACAAATAGATCTATCATAGTAAAACTGAAGAACACTAAAGACACTAAACACTGCATCTTTAAAGAGAAAAGAGGCACTATCTCTACAAAATGACATTTGGACTAAGATCAGATTTGTCACTGATAACACTGGAAGCCAGGAGATACTGAAATACTACCTTCAATATTCTAAGAAAAAATACCTATTCATCTAGTGTTGTATACCCAGAAAAAAATATCTCAAACATGAGGGTGAAATAAAGATATTTTAAAGAAATACCTTAAAAACCAAGATAACCTAGTTTACCACCACCTCGTGTACATCAGACAACAGGAAAGTGGGTTCTGGAATAAAGAAAAATCATGAAGTAAGGTAGCATAGGTAAATCCAAATGTACTATAACTTATAGTAAATATAAATAAGCTAAATGTGTTATACCCAAATGGATTTCTAAAATCTAGCTCTGAACTGTTTGCAAGTGATAAATGTAAAACTTAACTATACAAAGATGTTAAAAATAAAAGCATGAAAGAAATACATGTCAGAAATATTAACTAAAATAAAGCTGGGTAATAGTAGAGTGATATTAGTTAAGGCTGATGTAGCTATGTTAAAATCAGAAAAATAAAATTAGCACAGAAATTATTACTAGAGACAAAGAGGGTCTTTACAATAATAAAGAGCTCAATTCGCCAGGAAAATATAACAATTTTAAATCTATATGTATCTGAAACATATAGTCTCAAACATATCGGCAAAAGTGGAGAGATCTGCAAGAACACCATCATAAAATAAATTTTAACATATCTCTTTCATAATTTATAACAAAAATAGACAGATATGGGAGATAAAAGCAGTATAAATAAGAAACTTCATCTACTAGAACTTAGAACTTAGTCTTAACAAGGAAAAAAAATATACATTATTTTCAAGGAGGTTCAGAACATCTAGGAGTAATGAGTTTATTCTGCCACTGAAGCAATTTTCACCAAGCCTCAAAAGACTGGTATCAAACAGACCATTTTCTCTACTACATACAATTGAGTTAGGAATGTATTGTGAAATTAAGTGTGCAAAGTATATAGGCAAAAGAAGAAACAACTGTCTCTTCCTGGGACTACGTATTAGCCAAGAACTTAAGAGTCCTCTCAGCAAAGAAGCAGAAATGTATTTCAGAGAAGTACATATAAAATATTACAGAGGAAAGAAAGGAACCCGCGTGAACAAGAAGCGAATTATTCACTGAATTACGGTAGAATGTGCATGTATGTGATATACACACACACACATTTAGAAATAGAAGATGATAGATGATGATAGATAGATAGATACATTTATTTACAGGGGTGAGGTAAAGTAGGTTTGCAGTTGCTCATATGGAAAAAGACATGCATATTATGATTATTACAATAGCTTTATTAACTCACAAGAATGTCACAATGGCACAGTGTACTTAGTTACCACCTCATAAGTGGCACAGAGTTCTTTATAAACCTACCTTTGCCTACCCGTGTGTGTATTGAGCAATCTCACTATCATGTTGTATCACGTTGAAGAGTATGGATTATAAAGTAAGCAACAGGAAATTAACAAAGACCTTTATGCAGGTGAGGGACCGCATTTTATTATCTTATTGTAAAAGGGAAATCTGGAAGTGTGGAATGTAGATTGCTGATCAAATAGGCTAAAGAGAGGTAGACCAGTTGGATAGTGTCAGGAAGCTGGCTGGTTTCTCAGAAGGAAGAATGCCCTTTGAGGAACCATGAACAGGTCTTGTTTCTTAGACTCCCCCATTCTTGCAAATTGCATCTTTGAGAGATCATCACTAGCTATTGTTATCACCAGCCATCTTCAGTTAGATTTTGTGCCCCCCTTCCCACTTTGATCTATGCATACCTGCACTACCTTACTCTTAGTTCATATATAAGCTCTCATGATTAGGTAATTTTTACTGAAAGACTAACGATAGCAAGAATAAAATAATTACAAAGCCATCAGACCAAGAACTGAGATTTATAGGTCACAAACTAACTAAGTCCACTAGCTATAATGCACATTTCAGAATGGAAGCATCCTGGCCTATCTTTCTTGAGATTCCCTTCAGGCCTGCTCTCTACCTGGTTAGGTTTCTCACTCTGTTCGCATACTGTCCTTAGGCCGCCTTACAGAGGCAGAGCTGTTAAATTCCCAGAGGCAGAGAATATTTTTGACTATGAAAAATCTGATCAAACTGTCAAAAATACAGAAAATCATCTAAGAAAATTGTCAAACATAATTCAGGATCCTGGGACAGTGTAATGCAAAGACTTCAGAAAACTAAAATGTATCATTATTTTTGCTAAATAATCTGTAGTTTCCTTTCCCCCAATTTAGTCATAATTAATCAGTGAATACTATCATGTCTGGTTTCCAGAAACCATCTTCCCGTCATTTGTTAGGGTTACCGAAAGCGTTTCTAAAAATCTCCAAATCAGTCCGTCTTTCTCCCATCTCCATTCTTCCCCAAGTTACCCTGAGATGACTTAGAATTAGAAAGAGAATGTGTCAATCCCTCCACAGTGATTCTGACCCCACTCCTCAGCCTAGGGCCCAACTGCAACTTCACATTAGAATTCACGACAATATGGCCAGCATCACTGCAAACAAAATTAAAATAAAAGCATGCTCCTTGAAATAAGAGAACATTTTACAAAAATTCAGCCTAGAGAAGATGAGAAACTGATCTAGGGTTTTAACAAAAGGTGTGGTGGGAAGAACTCAGACTCTGCAGTCTGATGGGGTTGCTGATCAATTAGATGAGTAGGATGAGCCAATGGGTAAATAGAAAAGTATCCCAGCTTGGGAACGGAAGTGAATGGTGATACGCTAAACAAACAAAATGCCATAGTGAATCACAGGTATTGTCCTGTAAAATTTAGACACTTGGTTATTTAAAATCAAAGAAAAGGACAGGATATTATTTAAGTCAGAAGTTCCTTTGAGGTATGAGTATAATATTGATTCTGTTTATTTTTGTGTTTACTTGGAGTCATTCTTTTTCAATGAAGCTTTAAACTGCTGTTAACTTTCCCAGATTTTAGTTGATGTTTCTCCAATATACCTTTATTCATCTGTACTCCAGTACTGGTCAGCAGAAAACAAGCAGTGGGAAAAGTCACATTTCAGTCTTTGAGATTCTGATTGCACTGTGCATGTGGACAACACTAAAGTTCCATGCTACAGCTTTGAATGAGCCTGGAGTTTAAAATAAAATGGGCAGTGCATCTCATTAAACATCAGGGACACAAAAAAGACACAAAATTACACTCTGGATACTTTCACAAATAATTTTGCAATTGTACAAGTCTACAAAATCAATTTGAAGTATAGCATTAACTAATTGTTTGAGCTAGCATATCATCACTTAGAATTAAATTTTTAGCATGTCAGAATAATATCTTTCCAAATGTTTCTGAAATTTATTTCGGGGGTGTATAAATGTGAAACATGTTGAAACAAACACAAAAGCATTACTACCTGCAAATGATAAATACTTTAAGGCAGTTGTGTTTTTATTATGTATTCAGAGCTATTTCTGTTTTAGGAAACAAGTGAAATACACACTCATATATAGGTAGCAACATATTAGTATTTATAAAATGAAAGGTTTGTATAGTAATTGGACTCAGAAGCAAATGAAAAATCCTCAATTTCACTTGCCACATGCCAAAAAATATGTTCAACCTAATCCAGCTCTATATTCACATCCATAATTACAAAATGCTTATAATTTCTCCTACGAAGGCGGAGGCTTTAATAATGAGAATCTTTATCATTAGACACAGCACTGTGTGTGGAACTGCTTTCTCTTCGAACCGTGACTCAAGCATGAACTTTAAAAAAACCTGATGAGACGAAATAAAATATTTAAAATCGAACTGCCTGTGCTGCTTACAGCAACCAAATGATCGAACCATTGGTTTTACAAAGTGGATCTGAAAAAAAGTGAGGATGCTGATTATAATGAGCTCATTTAATTTTAGTTTTCCGTAAAATAATGTCTCCACACCAGACAAAATAATAGGCATCAGAAACATAGAGATGTAGAAATTCAGTGATCCATCTCCACAAAGGCCAAATGCGAGAACAGTAAGATGAGTAAGGATGATTTAAGACAGACTGTCTTAGAACAAGTGAAGGCTCAGATAGCATGAGGGCTAAATAGCTGTCTCTTACTCTAGGAGTGCAGGGTTGTCATTCTGTGGCACACAGGTTTACAGGTTATGCAGCTATTATATGCAATGGAAGCCATGCACAGAGCATAGACGCACACACAGCATGTCAAGCTTCCTAAACTTGGCAGCCCTTGACAAATTAAAGTAAATGCACACAGAGGTATAAGCTGTTCAGAAGCGATGTGAAATATTGGGTCACGGCCACTGAGACATTATGAGAAGATCTTCATAATCTTTAAATATATATCTACTTAAAACCACTAATTCTTTATCAAAGTATTTAAGTATAGTGGGGAGGGGGGAAGTATTTTGAGGCTAGGAATTAGGTTAAGACACAGGTCTATTTGTTAGAGCAGGCCCACAAATCTGCCTCTAGGCTTTTTAGCAACCAAGGCAAAGGAGGAAATGCAATCAGTTTTATGATGAAAAGGACTCATAAGATTAACTACCAAACCAGTTTCTGAGAAGTCTAACTAATTCTGGTACTCAGACTAGATAGAATTTCTCCCTCATGCGTCTCATGTTGAGAGGAAGGTAGAAACCCAGACTAAAATCCAGTAAGTCTTAAGTAAGCAATTTCTTTCCTTGAATCAGTTAGCTTCTCCTGCTGATTTGGAGTTTTAAAAGCCCCGTATCCTCTGAGTAGATGCAGACTTGTGAAATGGCAATGATAACATTACTTTCCCGTTCGTGACATTGATTTATTATATCATATTTCACAAAAACATTTCTTGCTCATGGCAGCTGAATTGGATGTTTCTACCCAAGAAATAATCAAAGGCTCTTTTATCTTAGGTATATAATATGTATTTTTCTAGCCAGTCTATTAAAAATGATGGGAGTTTAAAACCCAAATGTGAAAAGAAGTTAGATGATGACAATGTGGGGGTTAGTAATTGAAGCATTACATGCCTTCAGAAAAGAAGACTATAGGAGGCTCTGGGCTCTTTCAGATTTAAGGTTTGCATTTTTAACTATTTAGGAATAACCGGAACGTTTAAGACTCACAGCCATTAATAACTCAGCTGATACACTGACAAAGCAGATGTGCTTATGAAAGCACTAACAGTTTGTGTCATCCTGATCCATCACCCAGATGCCAAAGCTCAAATCAGCTTGATTATATTCTCTTCTCCATGTCACATAAGCAGTCACTGTGGAGAATGATAGAAACTGTGTCTCTTTGAGAGTCCTCCAGGAAAATGCCAAAACCTAGTTCTGATGATCAAAGGGAAGAGATGTAAGAAAGTGACAGTTCTTAGGGAGAAAAGATGTGCTATCAGATAAATCATACCATTTAGTTAGACTCTTAAATGTTGAGACTTGCAAAAGTTTTGAAAAGCGTTCCTCAAAAAAAATGTATTATTCAATATTGACCCTATTATGAATATAAGAGAAATGTCTCTCCAAAATAGTATTAAGTTATCTGTATATCATCATTTGCAATTCTTGGTATAAATAACACTTGGATAAAATGACATATAAATTACATCAAGATTCAAAACTAAATTTATGTTACAATTACATTTAATTCTGTTAAGTTTCAAATACTGTCATTGAGAATTTTAGTTTTATTATGTTATTTATTTCCAGATTTGAGGGATATCGTATAAGCTAAGCATTTAAGAAATTTAGTGGAAGTACAAGCACTCAGAACTTTTCTTTTTTTAATTTAAGACCAATACTTAATGTACTCCATGCTGATTGTCAACGCCAGCTTGGAGGTTAAATCTAATTTATGGGCCCAACAAAATCAAAATTATTTGCAGTGACCTGAGAGGCAGAATAATAAGGAAAACGGGTAGAGTTAGATAAAATGCATAGTGTTTATTTTAAAAGATTGGGAGGCGGTTATAAAACTGTTATACAATGGCCTAAATTCATGATTTATCTATTGCTTTCTCTTAGGTTTTATTTTACAAATATCAACCAGTAGTAATGCAGCCCAAAATAAGTGATTAAGAATGAACATCTTATTTATAAAAAAAAGGTGGAGTCTGAACAATTATTCTGTGACAAGACTAAATGCTATGACTATAGTTCAAATGCCTTTAGTTGTCTTTGAAACTTCTACCATCAGAAGTTCTATGAACTTCCTGGCGTTCTGGCCTGTATACTGCATAGGAACACAGTATTTGGAAATAAGAGCGCATATATTTGTGTTCTTAGTCCATTATTTACCGACCTCGTGAGCCTAGACATTTCACTTGATTTTTCCGGGTCTCCATTTTGGTACTCATAAAATGAGAACATAATGAGTCATCAGATAAACCTATTCTGATGTTTAAACAAGGCAATGTTTGGGAAATCAAAACAGCTATTTGAACTTTATCAATCTGAAAACGATTTTCTACCAGAAGGGCACAAAAGCGGTCATTCTCAAAAAAGTACTTGGAACCCAAGACTCTCAGACCTGGAAGATGGAGATCAACTAGCCCTGTGGTGTTTACCACGTTCTTCACTCTTACAGTTCTAGGCAGCTTCCTGGCGTCAACTACAGGGGTCAAGCGGAAGCAGACTGGATAGAGCTCCCAACCTCTTTTGCCCCAAACAGAGCTGTTCCCCTTTTATTGGTTTCAGATCATTGTGGTTGTTTAGAAAACATTTTTTGAACAAATCCTTCACCTGTGGCGGCTAAAAATGATTACAACAAAACCTACGAATCAAATTCAATTCCCACCCTGCAGTACCACTATCTTCTGAGAAACCAAAGGCAAAGAAGAATTGTGACACATGCCCAAGGTGTCAGCTCCCAGTGACAGCAAAGCCAGGGTTTGTACTTCAACCTGATCAGTGCCCTTTCCACTACACAAATCAATCTCCTTAAAGGTTACAAGCTGTTAGATTTGGGGTGAGAGCTTTGATACTTCGGGGTGCCTGTGACTCCTGACTTCTGCTGAACTTCATTTTGGTGTGGGGTGATTGTTTCCATGACTATCTAAGGCTGAAGCTTGAGCTCTTGTTTCACAGATGGAGATCACCATGGCAATTGAAGCCTTTCTGGCTGGATAATGAGAGCCCTTCTTTTTGAAGGTTTCTGATGTCACCTTGGCATAGAGCACTCTAGATAACCTATTTAATACCAACAAAGCAATACAAATGTTCCATAATACCACAAGGGCTCACCATATTTTTCAGAGTCAAGCTACAAAAACATTGTTTAGGAGCATCAAGAAAGTTCTCAAGACAGGGTGTGATTTTTTAGTATGTAGGATGCAAGTCTGCACTTCTCTTGAAGGGGTAGATGGTGATCCCTAAATTTACTCATTTTGTGGTTAGTTAGAAGTCTGTAGTAAGTTTTATTAGGTTATCAGATCATCTCATGCTTCTAAGCATTTGTTAAGGAAAGGAAGACAATAAATAAAAACTTAGATGTCAGTATATTAAAATCTACACTTATATAAAATGAAGGAGTTTACTTTTTGGTCACATACAGATTAGAAGCTAAGAATTTTATCACAAATCAAGCACAATTCTCAACAATTAAATTTACAAGCTTTTATTTTGACACAAACTTTTATTCATTGATACAACTGACCTATTTAAATGTATATACTCAAAAACTTCACAGAGATTTGACAAAAGCACATGGTCATTTTCCTTAGTAACTTAGAGTTATAAGCTCTGCCAAATCGTATTTTAGCTGAAATTCCAATACAGTAGGGGAAACACTAAATATCCTATAAAAGGAATGTCCCTAAAGACACATGCTGATTTATTATTGTCTTATAGCATTAAGCCACTTGTATAGCTGTGATTTTGAGTCCATAAATCTTAAAATATCCTTTTTAAATGGACCTTCAAAATTTGATGTATTTTCAACTGGTAAAGTCCGGAGATCAGCAAAGCTATAATAGCCAGCATGGAGACTGGAATATATACTTAGTGATGACAGCAGGACACTAAAGATTTCTAAAATAGTAATTTGCACAACTTCCCTCAAAAGTATTTTTCTTAATTCTTTTACCACTCATATAAAAAAACGTTAACTCATTGCTCCTAACCATATTAAAAACAAACAAAAAAGAAAACCAACATTTCACTACTGTTACTTGCAATGTATTTCAACTTTAGCAAAACAAACCCATATT